ATCCTCCACACTCCACCATAAAAAAAATATATATATTTTTTTTCTTCTGTAGCAAAATAGGACTACAACTGCAATCTATTGTGCCATCCTGTGTTGTTCAATGACAATAAGGGTCAATCAGCGGTAACAAGTGCAGCAACTTCACTGCTGCAAGATGAATTAAAAGACGTCAATGGGGGGGTAATCCGATATGGAAATAAGTCAAATGCAAGACAGCCATGGACAAATCAGCCTTAAAACAATGTTCTAACGTTAGCCAACTGCCATGTCTTGTCTTGTCTCTTTAGGTTATGTTTACTTTTATTTTAATATTCCATTACTTACCTCTCCTCTCATTAAGGATATTTCACTTCCTGTCCTTATGTGTTTTCCCGCCTGTGTGATTGTCTACCCCGCCCCTGATCGGATTCACCCTCATCCTCACCCCCCTGCGTCTTTAGTCTGTTTCCTTGTCTCTGTGCCAGTTCGTCTTTGTCCATAGAGTCAAGTGTTCCAGCAATCTTCCTAGTGTTCCTGTTTTTTCTGATTTCTGCCTAATATTCTAAACAGTTTACATTTTTTTCCTCACCCTTGCCTTCTTTGTTTGCCTGATTACCTGACCTCCTGTGTACCATACCTGCTTGTTAAGTAAAGATTGTTTTTACTGCACCTAGTCCTGTTCTATGGGTTGTGCTTTTGGGTCCTGTTTTTTCTGGGTTTCCCCCCTCTGTTTTACCAGTACTAACTGGCCACAAAATGGACTCGCAGTACGCTGCAATTTAGGCACAAGGAAGCAGAATTCACCACCATGATGAGCAATTCACCTCTATTTGCCTGGGGGTTAGAGAGTTGTCGGAGCGACAAGAGAACTTCCAAGTTTCCAGCCCTGTTTTTGAGACAAGCAGCGGTGCTATTTCTGCTCCAACCTCAGTTCCAGCACCAGCATCGGTGTCCACTGTTTTCTCCCCAGGCTCCGCTCCTCATCTCTCCAGACTGGAACGGTTCTCCAGAGACTCTGGGAGCTGCCGGTCATTTATGGTCCAGTGTGCGCTCCACTTTGAGATGCAGGCTTCTTCCTTCCCCAACAATCGTGCCAAGGTAACCTACATTATCAATCACCTCTCTGGCAGAGCCTTGGCCTGGGCCAGCGCAGAGTGGGCCAGAGACTCTCCTGTGTGTCATTCACTGCCCTTTTTCTTTGAGACTTTTAATAAGATCTTCGACCACATAACTCCCAGCCAGGAGGCAGCCGTAGCCCTCATTGTGACAGGGCTGATAGCATTTAGCAGGATTATGCCATCGAGTTCCACACCCTGGCTGCTGACAGTAGCTGGAACACCCCTTCCTTGGTTCCTTCTTCCTACCCTCAGCGCCTCCTAATGCACCGGAGGAAGCCGCGCAGCTACATAGAGCCAGATGTACTCCAGAGGAGCAACAGTGATGAAGGTAGGTAAATCTACTTACTTACTTACTACTTTTTCTTTGTGAAGAAGGATAAGTTGCTCTGCCCTTGCATCGACTTCCAAGGCCTTAATGACATTACGTTTATTTCATCTGCCTTTGAGTTGCTGCAAGATGCTATAATCTTTACCAAGTTAGATTGAAGGAATGCTTAACAGTTGGTACGGATAAGGGAGGCGTACAAGTGGAAGACTGCCTTTAACACCCCTAGCGGACACTACCAAAATCTGTTCATGATATTTGGTCTCACAAACGCTCCAGCTGTGTTTCAGCTTCTGGTTAAAGATGTTCTCCTTGACATGCTGAATAAATCTGTCTTTGTTTACCTGGATGACATTCTAACCTTTACTCGGATTAAGAGACCCACGTTCAGCATGTTCATCAGGTCCTGCAGAGCCTCCTGGAAAACAAACTCTTTGTTAAGTCTGAGAAGTGTGATTTCTACACTCCCTCAGTCGCATTCCTTGGTTTCATCACATCCCCGAAATGTGTCCAGATGGACTCCTCTAAGGTCAGTGCTGTATGGGCTTATTGGCCCACTGCAACTAGTCGTAAGTTAGTTCAACGTTTCTTAGGTTTTGCTCATTTTTACAGACGTTTTATCAGTAACTTTAGATATGTTGCTTCCTCTGCATGCTTTCACCTCACCTCATGTCAAGTTCCAGTGGTCTCCCCAGACAGATCAGGCATTTTGTAGGGTGAGGGAGTTTCACCTCTGCACCCATCCTCGCTCTCCCGAACACTAGTTAATTGTGGAGGGAGCTGCTGGCAGTCAAGGTAGGAAGCTGAGCAGCCCTTCTTGGTTTGGACCGACCATAAGAACCTGTAATACATCTGGTCAGCCAAGCGGCTCAATGCCAGGTAAGCAAGGTGGGCTTTCCATTTCTTCCTGTCTCACCGTCCTGGCTCTAAGAACCTTAGGCCTGATGCTCTGTTCTTCCTGTTTGATCTCAAGTCTCTCCCCAGTTCTCCCACCAGTATTCTGCCCTCTTCCTGTGTGGTGGGGGAAGTCCCATGGAGCATTGAGAAGAGGGTCCTGCAAGCTCTAGGTAACACTTAGGTGCCAGAGAACCTGTCCTCCAAACCAGTTGTTTGTCCCTGTTACGTGCCGTGTTGTGCTTGTGCTTTCACTCCGCTTACCCTCAGTGTCATCTCGGGTGCCACCCTCTGTCCCGGATGCCAGCTGCAGCGGCTGATTGGACGCGGCTGCAGTCAATCGCGATTAGCGGTGGCTAAAAGGAGAGGAGCGCCTCATGGACAACCCCTTGGGCAACGTGTAGTAGTGGAGCTGCGTGTGTGTCGGTGTGAAGCTGTGGATCACCTTTGTTCCAGCCGTGTGGGCTGTTGTCTGTATAGTGTCAAATAGTGTCGCTTTCTTTCTATAAGAAAGTAGTTTTCAGTTGGGTTCTTGCGAGCATTTAATCTGTCTGAATAAATGTCTTTCGTTAACCCTCATCAGTTGCTCATTCCCTCTTTCCCCAGGAAATTAACACCGTTACTCCCCGCATCCCTTAGATGCCAAAAGGGGGAACGTAACAGTCCCCGTCTCTCTCCCCTTGCAAGTCATATTGGGCTCACACCTCTTGCCTCTCCTGTTATCTAGGGGTAGGGAGGACTGGGTTCGTCATAAAATAATGTTTCTGATGGCCATCTATGGAAAAGGTGGTTGTGGAATATGTGGCTGCTTGCCCCGTGTGTGTCCGAAACAAGGTCTCCTGATGCCAACCTCCTGGTCTTTTACATCCCCTTCCTGTGCCTCACCGCCACTGGTCCTTAGCCTTCATCACTGGGTTTCCACCCTCTGAATTATCAGGAAAGATAGAGCCAAACTGTGCAGATGTTTCATAGTTAAAAAGTTTAAAATTAAAATGCAAATGGGGCAACTGTTGCGTCAGTGGTAGAGTAGGGTCGTCCTTCAATCCGAGGACTGGCGGTTCGATCCCCGGCTCCGCTTGTCGATATCGATGTGTCCTTGGGCAAGACACTTAACCCCAAATTAGCTGGCTGTGCCTGCGGTGTATGAATGGGTATGAATGATTAGTTAGAGTCAATGGGCATTAGGCACCTTGCATGGTAACCCCTGCCATCAGTGTATGAATAAGTGTGAATGGGTGAATGACGACATGTAGGGTAAACGTGCTTTGCATGGTCAGAAGACTAAAGCGCTATACAAGTACAAGTCCATTTACCAAATGAATCGAATAACCCAAAACCCTAACTTTTTAAAAATCACTTAGGTTCAAATTTAAAAAGTGGGTGCAGTTGTGGATCATAGACAGCAGCTAGTCCAGACGTTACCTCAGAATTGTGGCTCTTGATAAAGGTGTTAGTTAGCCAATGTGTGTGAAATCAATCTCACACCCCCAAGAAAAAACAAAACAAGCTAACAAAATTTGAGCCTGTCTGCTAACAGAAATGAGTAAGCTGTTGAACAAACCTTTCAAAACAATAATTTTTTTTCATAGTAATTAATATAAACTAACGTAGCCTTAGAGCGTCAACAAGCTACCATAGGAGTGAAGTGCTGGTCATCAGTAGCATAGTGCTATGATGACATGCTATGCTATGCTATGTTTCATTTCATTTAATGTTCCAATGGAAATAAGCAACCTCCTTTATATATTGAGTGATTTTGATGTTGATGTTAAAAGCAAACCCAGGTTAGGTTGAAATGACTCTGCTCTGATCTGTACTGACACAGTAAACAGGATGCACCTAAATTAAAGGGATACACAAGCACACTACTGCTGAGTGAGTGCTAGTCACTACTGCTGGCTCCCTCCAGAGACCACTCATTACTGCACACTGCCTGAGGAGCCAGGGCTTTATCTACTTCACTATCATAGTCCACACTTCTTTTTATAGCAATATTCTGTTTTTGACTTGGCTTTGTATTATCCTCTTCTTCTGTTCTCTTACTAGAAGGTACTGTTACAGCTGACCCATCTTAGATATACTTGTTATATACAGTATTTCACAAGATGGCAGAACAGATAGGATTATCTTGTTTTAACGGCGCAATAAGGGTTAGTCCCCACAACAGGGACTATGTTCTGTCAAAGTGTCCTTGAGCAAGTCACTGAACCCCTAGCCGCTCATCTATGTGGGTCCGCTGTAAAACTACATGGTATAGATTGACCAATGAATATTAATATTCGATGTATTTTATGGGTATTTGCTGAGAATATTGCCACCAAAACACAAAACAGGAACCAAATTAATGAAGCATACGGCTACAGCTGAACCATTTTAAGAACCCACTGCCAGCACACACACACACACACAAACACACACACATATATACACGCGCACACACACACACACACACACACACACACACACACACACAAAAGCATACACAAACTGTCTCATTCTGAAGACAGGATCCTCCCAGGAAATGCACACACACATACACACACACACATACACACAGACACAGTAACCCATTTATTGCCTCATTCTATACACAAGATAACCGATGATCATACACACACTCATTCACACTGTAACCAATCTGTCCAGCTCATGTAAAAAACAGGGGATCCTCCCAGCCTCCCTACCTGGGTGCCAGCTTGTGGTAGCTGTGGGAACAGAGCCAGGGTGGTCGGTCTCTTGGGTCGATATTTGTCCATGACAGTGCAGATTGATCCCCCTCTGACAGGCGACAGCTTACCTCCCTCCTCCTCTTCCTCCTCCTCCTCTTCTCCTCTTTTATTAAACCAGTGTTGGCACTCCTCACCTTGGACAAGGCCTCCCCCACCTACCTCTACCTAACTCTCTTCCCCTTCTTCCTCTGCGTTCTCGTCAGCATTGATCAGATCTGAGCTCAGCCTCTGAACACACCCCCTCCACTCTCTCCTTGCCTGATCATTGGTTGGCCATAGTGTCACATCATCATCATCACCACCATCATCTTCCGGCAGGAACAGAGTAGAACGGAGAGGAGAGGTAGAGAAACAGGAGAGGAAGGAAGAGAGAGAGAGAAGGGATGTGGTTGGTGTTGAATAGTGATGGGATGAGCAAGGATCGACAGAGAGAGGAAGGCTGGGTGAAGAGAGAGACGGAGATGGAGTGTGCAGAGAGGGAGAGAGAAGGGGAGGAGGCAGTCAGGGCCAACCAATGAGAGCAAGGCATAACATCATCAGCTCATCTGCCTGTTGTGTTTTCAGTGAGTTAAGCTTAATAAACAGTGTGTGTGTGTGTGTGTGTGTGTGTGTGTGTGTGTGTGTGTGTGTGTAACCCAGTCCAATAAGATTATACAGTAACAGTGATCCCATGGAGAGACAATGGAGTCATTTAACCATGTAGCCACAGTCATTCAGGAAGCTGACAGTCAGTCAATCACTCTTTCAGTCCACCAGCCAGTCAGTCGTTTGATCATTCAGTCAGTCAGTCAATTAACAGTTATTTTACCCAGTGAAACAACAAACCAATCAGTTACTAAGACAGACATAAACCAGCAAGCAAACCAGTAATTCAGCCAATAAAAGTCAACCAGTACTTAACATCACCATATTATGTAGAACCTAAGTAATGATTCTGTCATTCAGCAAATCAACCAGCCAGTCAGCAAGACTACCAGGCTCAACAGTCAAAAGGTCATTTGTCGAACCAGACAGTTCGGCAGTCAAACCAGTCAGTCATTATGTCAGTCAACTAACCAGCCAGCAAACCAGCCAATTAGGCATTCAGTCAGCTAAAAAACAAATTAAAAAAATGTTCACTCTTTCAGTCAGTCAAAGCTTATCGCGCCGCCATCTTTAACAACGCGGCACACCGGAAAATCAAGCTACTCATTTACACACAGACACACAGACACAGACACACACACACACACTAATGTATCCTTACAGAAATCTATTTCCTGGTTACTCAGCTACTAAAAAAAAGACTTATTTAACTTGGATTACTTCTTCACCCACCTGCAAACAGGACAAATAAGTGAGACAGGGCAACTTCACTCCTGTTCATTTAGCCTCGCTCAGTAGAAATGAGGTTTGTATTTTGCAGGCAGGACAAGCTGCTGTCTCCCATCAGTCCGATATATAGAAGCCCATTTTCCAGGTATAGTTTGTTCCACTCGTGTAAAAGCTTCCTGGTGAGTACATTTGCCGCTCTCTCATCGTTATGGACTGCATTTGTCATCTCGAGCCTCACGACCTCTCCAAAAGCAGCTCAGAGAAAGACCCCGCTATTGGTCTTTCTCTGAGCTGCTTTGTTTCCCTCCCAGGTAGTGTGCACAACATTTTGGGATAGCTCCTCAGTGCAGGCTGTGATGTATTTATTGATATCCAGCGGGATACGAGACAATATATCTGCTTCCATGTTAATCTTCCCAGGCCAGTAATTATCAAATCACAAAGATCTCCTATCCAATGATGTCCAACAGCATTTAGCTTTGCTGTGCTCATAGTGTAGGTGGGGGGGGGGGGGTTGTTGTCTATATAGAATGTAAAATGTGGGGCATAGCACAGGTAATCTCAGATTTTCTCACACACTGCCCATTTCAAGGTTAGAAAGAATTGTCTCATCTTTCATCTCAGCATCAGAGAGAAGGGGTTTTAATTTCCTGCAGATATCATTATGTCTGTGTCCCAGTCCCTGATACACTGTGTGTAAGAAGACATCTTGGACTGTAGCTCTGCTGTATTTAATCCTTGCATCAGGAAGGTTGGATGTAAACAGTATTCTCTGTTTGAGTCCAATTAGTAGAGGAATTGTTGTGGCGTCTCATTAACATTGTGTTGAGATCAACTCCTGAAATAGTTCAGTGCTATTCTTTTCTCTTAAGTGAGACTGTAAGAATACTTTAAGTTCTGCTACAGTCACATCATCCTTATTCATCAGCATATCATTGTTGTTGCAGGTTTGATTATCCTGAGCACCGTACGATATCTGAGTCACTAAAGTCCTCTTGGATCCCTTCATCGATATGTCTGCACACATTACTGTAGGTGATGTGTGATGTGTGGTAGCCAATTTGACCTCCCTAAATTCTCTACGCTGGAGATATGAAAGTTCTCTGATGGAGAACTTCTCACATGGCTGGAGAGCAGGGGCGTCGTTAGGCCTATTTTAGGGGGGCTGAAGCCCCCCTAAAATGTTCTTCAGTCCCCCCAAATAATTTGGCATTATTGGCTTTAAAAAAAAAATAAAGAAAAAATAAATATTTTTTTATTTTGGTGATGTCATTAAATTAAACTATTGTTTCTCACATGGACAAGTTATTTATAACTCTAACATGCTACATATGTGCGTGTGTTCTGGTTTGTATGTTTTCTCCCCCTTCAAATTACAATCCAATAGCCGATCATCATACTTAACGATATAAAGTTGACACTGTCAGGTCCATTCTCCATCCATTGTGTGCGGTCCCTTTAAGAATTAGGATTTGGAAGTGACGCGGATATTCTTTATTTGAGAAAAGTTCATATTTGTGTTGTCAAATTTCACTATGACCCTCAAATTCTGTCTCTTGTGTTATCATATACTGAATGCAAGCAAAACTACAGAGCAAAATAACACTCTTTCTGATTGAACCAATCTATGAACTGTCTGAAACAATGGATATCCGCGGCCCCAAATGGGCCCCAAAAAAAATTGCCAAACATGCCACTCCCCTTGGGGCTAAGCCCCCCCTTTATTTGAATCCTAGAAACGCCCCTGCTGGAGAGGACTGGGTTCAGACTGGTCACGACTGTGTACTGTCTCCCATACCAAAGTGGCATTCGTTCATCCATAAGTTCCAAAAGTTACATTACATTACAGTCATTTAGCAGATGCTTTTATCCAAAGCGACTTACAACAAGTGTATTCAACATAGGTATTCAAGAGAACTACTAGTCACCAGAAGTCATAAGTGCATCTCCTTTTTTAAACAAGCATCTAAGGGCATAAACCAGAGCAAAAGTACAGTGACAAACAAATATGAATACAATAAGTGCAACAGACTAGTATGAATACAATAAGTGCTGAGTGGAAGGCTCAGGGTAGTACTTCTTGAAGAGGTGAGTTTTCAGCCTGATGAAAGATGGGCAGCGACTCTGCTGTCCTGACGTCAGTGGGGAGTTCATTCCACCACTGTGGGGCCAGGACAGAAAACAGCCGTGACCGGGTCGATCGGCCGCAGGGACCTCTGAGCGACGGGGCAACCAATCGCCCCGAGGCAGCAGAGCGAAGTGGTCGGGCGGGGGTGTAGGGCTTGACCATGGCCTGGAGATAGGAAGGAGCTGTTCCTTTCACTGCCCTGTAGGCTAGCACCAGAGCCTGGATGAGCACCAGAGCCTGTATGAGCACCAGAGCCTGGATGAGCACTTGCGCCGTCTCATCAGTGAGGAAGGGGTGAATCCTCCTGATGTTGTAGAGCATGAATCTGCAGGAGCGTGTAACCGATGCAATATTTACTGAGAACGACAGTTGGTCGTCCAGGGTCACACCCAGGTTCCTCGCAGTCCGAGTTGGCGTCACCACGGTATCGTCAATGGTGATGGACAGGTCTCGGTGCGGGCAACCCTTCCCCGGGATGAACAGTAGCTCGGTTTTGTCCAGGTTGAGCTTGAGGTGGTGGGTCGTCATCCACTTCGAGATGTCAGCCAAGCACGCAGTGATGCGTGCCTCCACTTGAGTGTCACTGGGGGGAAATGACAAGACCAGCTGGGTGTCATCGGCATAACAATGGTAAGATAAGTCATGCGAGCGAATAACAGAACCCAGAGATGTTGACTTTACTGACCCAACCAGTCAAAATTAATGCAGCCTTCATCTCAAGTAGACTACACTACTTCAATACCCTATTTACTGGTCTTCCTAAAAATCTATTAAGAGGCTGCAACTTATCCAAAATTCTGCAGCTAGACTGCTAACAAGACCAAAAAAGAGAGAACACATCACTCCAGTCTTAGTTGCGCTTCACTGGCTGCCTATCGCCTCCAGAATTGATTTTAAAGTCGTTTTACTTGTCTACAAAGTTCTAAACGCTTAGGACCGGCCTACATCACAGACTCCCTGTTGCTCTATGTTCCTCCACGAACCCTTAGATCCTCCACCGTTGGGTTTCTAGTTCAAGAACAGTCTAACCCCAAAAACATTAGAGAGGCATCCTCTGTTGACATTTCCAAGCATCACTTAAGAACATATCTATTTTGCCAAGTCTTTCTTTTTTAACTACACTTTGTGTTCCACAGAGTCACACATCTGTCTTTCAAATGATCTTTTATGTATTTAAACATTTTTATGTCTATACATTTTTATTTCTGATTTTTGTCATTTTAAATGTAAAATGTTTACCATCAGTTGAAATATTTTAATTACACTTTAAATGTAAGTGCAGTGAAGCATGCAAATGGGGCTAAACTTAGCTATTCACAGATGCAGACACACACGGAACAGAGAACAGAACGGAGAACGGAACGGAGAACAGAACACACGCACACACACACAAAGTTCAACAGCTGCCAGATCTATGTATATACAGGTCTTCCCGTCGTCATCTCTCTGGTTCGGGTTGTTGCTGTGTGTGTATGTGAAGATCTGCAAAGGTTCTCCTTTTCATCTCCTCAGACTCAGAGAGACTAGAGCCTCATTGAGACGTTTGTGTCTGTGTGTGTGTTTGTGTGATTATTCTCGCCTTGTTCCAGTCGGGATGAAAACAGTTGAAAGAGCAATTAAATACTTCTTGATATACATGATGAAGCATGTGCCTTTAACGCAGTGGCAGGCCGTGTGTTTCATACCTGGGCCTTCAGTGCTGTCCTACTACAGTTGAACCACCTCCTAATAACCTCATTGTGATGCCAGCATGATGGGATGCTTTGTCATTAACAAGCAATGCATGTAGTCAAAATCAATGTATAATTAATACAATGACAAGAACAAACTCACAAGAACCAGTCACACATATTTATATGACAATAAAGCAGGTAGAATAACATAAAACCCAAATAACATGATTCAACAGGCCTCTGCATAATCCAGCAAAACTGCAGCGCTAAAACACACGAGGGCACGGGACATTTAAATATGATTCACATCAGAGGGAACAATATTAACCATGTCATAAAAACGACATATCATAATGTTTCCATCATTACTCTGCTAACCACTTTAACTATATGAATAATTTATATCTATGCATTAAATGTTTTGTAACTCTGCTATGTTGTTCATTCTGTACACATGATATTCTACTTCTGTCCATCCTGATAGAGGGATCCTCCTTTTTTTTCTCCTCCCCGTTAAAGTGTTTTTTGGGGAGTTCTTCCTGTTCTGATGTGAGCGTCCTGGGACAGAGGATGTCGTATCTGTACAGATTGTAAAGCCCTCTGAGGCACATTTGTGATTCATGATTTTGGGCTATAGAGATAAATTGAATTGAATTGAATCCCTCCATCCTTTCATCCCACAACTCTCAACCACCTTTTGCTCCTGAAGTCCATCCCTGACTTAAACGTGCAGTAAACCATCATAACCCTTATCGCTATTAGCGTGGTCCTAGTTAGTGAACTGCAGTGTGTGTTCATGGTCATGAAGGAACATGTCCCCCAGTGTAACAGTCTTGCTCATTCATATGTTTTTAATGGAGCTCAGGCTTTGGATGCACTGACAATACCTGTCAGTAGGATCAGTTCATTGTTGGTATAGGTCTTCTAATAGGATTTGTTGACAATAGGACTAATATAGAGTAATGGCAGCCTTATCATTTAAAACAAGCACAAAACACAGAGTTATACAGAGGACGAAGTGCCAGGAAGAAGAGCAGTGTTCTTTTTCACCCACTAGAAAAGAAAGATGCCCACTTTAGTCCAGTGTTTGCTCTACAACAAGGAGTTCAATTAGCCACACAACAGGTGTTCTGTACCACCAGCTGTTACCACTGAGTAATCAACTCCCACAGCATTCACAATCATTTAAAAGGAGCTCTTGTAGGTTAACACTATAGAGAGGTTTCTGTAGAAATGTGCATGTTTGTTAGCAAGTATGAGATGGGTTTTATTATTGGTGTAACCTCATTGTTAGCTTAAAAATTTAACTTTATTCTCATCCTTTGAAGGTAGTCTTGGGGCGCTTACAAATCCTTAACCCTGTCTTCAATTTATCAACTTAGTTGTGCTAGAATGAGGTAAGTTTATTACTGTAAAATCTAAAATTGGTACTGTAAAACTTATGAATCTAAAGTCATGTCTATTCTTTGTAGGGTGTTTTTGATTTCGTTTCTGCTATTTGGGAGCGTTGCATGTTTCCCTATGGGGAAAGGTAAGACGATACTGGATGATGGACTGACTATTGGAAAGCTTTGATTTTTCTCTAAACTACTGAACAGCTTTAAATGAAAGCTGATTACTAAGGTAAACCTTTTGTCTCACCCCAGAATATGATGCAAACAGTGCTGAGACAAGCTTCATGTGGCAGCCACTTCCTTTGGGCAATTGGTTCAGTGGACTGGGTGTGAGTTCTGACGCTGGCAGCAGCTTTCCTCTACTAAGTCTACCCAACCCAAGCTCTAACAAAGCTACTGGACATCCTGCTCCTCAAATTGGCAGTTTCAGTGCTGGACCTGGCAGTTTCAGCAGTAATGTGTTTGCCGGTGGCTCCACTAGTTTTAAAGATGGACACCACAACAGTCCTGAGGTCGGTGCATATGAAGTTGCTTATGCAGGGTATGGCTATGACGGTAGTGCTCCAGATGGCAGGTTGGGTAGTGCTTCTGTAGGTGACAGCTGGAGCTCTGAACCGGCTGGTGGCTACGATGCTGTTGAAGAAATCCCTGAGCCAATCTTCAGTGACGTGTCTGATCTGGAGCCAGTCTACTCTTTTAGCTCTCGTTCAAGATACCAGCGAGGAAGAGCAGTGTTTGCTCAAACCCGGTACAACCCAGGAAAACCCAGCAGAACTTCTAAGCAAAGTGGTCCTGCTAAAGCTCCTACCAAAGGGGCCTTCTAAAGTCCTCTGGTAAGAAGCATTTTACTATACCTGATCAAATGCCTATGATCGATAGTAAGCATTTGATTCACTAATGTCTTTGCTTTTGCAGGTATTGTGTTCCAGATGACTTGGTTCTGTTAAAACCGATACCAATAAAAGGTTGCTTCACAGTGGCATTTCTACTTTTCTTTATCTATCTCTCTATCTCTCTATCTATAGATATCTATAGATAGAGATATCTATAGATATCTATAGATAGAGATATCTATAGATAGAGATATCTATATCTCTATCTATATCTATAGATATAGATATCTCTATCTATAGATATAGATATCTCTATCTCTATCTATATCTCTATCTATAGATAGAGATATCTATATCTCTATCTATAGATAGAGATATCTATATCTCTATCTATATCTATAGATGGAGATATCTATATCTATAGATGGAGATATCTATATCTATAGATGGAGATATCTATATCTCTATCTATAGATAGAGATATCTATCTAGAGATAGAGATATCTATCTCTAGATAGAGATATCTATCTCTAGATAGAGATATCTATCTCTAGATAGAGATAGAGATATCTATCTCTAGATAGAGATATCTATCTCTATCTCTAGATAGAGATATCTATCTCTAGATAGAGATATCTATATCTATATCTCTATCTCTATATCTCTATATCTCTCTATCTATATCTCTATATCTCTATATCTCTATATCTCTATATATCTATCTATAGATATCTATATCTCTATCTATAGATATCTATATCTCTATATATCTATCTATAGATATCTATATCTCTATATATCTATCTATAGATATCTATATCTCTATATATCTATCTATATCTCTATATCTCTATATCTCTATATATCTATCTATAGATATCTATATCTCTATATCTATCTATATCTCTATATCTATCTATAGATATCTATATCTCTATCTATATCTATATCGCTATCTTTGAAAAGTGACATTTACAATTTTCAGAAGAAAATCCAGAAACAATGCCTTGTTTACGTCAGACAATCCACAGACCTCACTGTCAACAATTTACGTGGAACTACTTCCTGCTATAGAAATAGTGCCGATACTCTGGGATACTGATTGTGGGAAATGATGTTGCTGTTGATTTAAGTGGGAGGCTGTGAGCACCGACTACTAGTCCCGCCCACCTTTCAGAATAAACCGGGATTTTTTTATTCAGCTTTTTATCTATCTATCTATCTATCTATCTATATATCTATCCCCTTCAGGAATGCGCAACACTATTACTTTGGTTAAATTACGAAGGTCATTACTTGCAGGAAAATGTATTGTTGAGCAGCTAACTGCTGTAGAATCTGGGCAAACTTCCTCTGTACTGTTTGGTCAATTTGCAGCAGATTCCAGCTGATATTTTCTTTCTACAATGTAGTGAACTTTTTATTTTTTTATAAAACTCTCATATTGATATGTATGTAATCATGGTAATAAACTCTAGAGCAAAGCTTCTGAGGACCCACTGGACGTGTTGACTAACTGCTATTGTTACAGACTTTACATTATCATATTCTCTTATATATTCTCTTATATCATATTCTCTTATATCTCTTATGTCTATGGTACACTTACTGGGTAGTTAAAATCTCAATGGTATCAAAGGTGTGTGTGTGTCCGTGTGTGTGTCCGTCCTACATCATTGCTACATTTTACAATTGGGTTGATTCTGATGATGTACAGCAGGGGGTGCTCCACTACAACCAGACCGGTCCTCCATGAACTCTCAAAGTGCTGTAGGGCACTATAATCTTATAGCATGTAATAGTCAAATATGTTTATCAAATTGATTAATATTGGAGACTTGTCATGACCTGATGATGGGCATTTAATTCCATTGCTTAACTGAATACATGAAAAAACAAATGCACAAATACTCATGCCCTCATTCAGGATTATAATGATAGATGCAGTGACACACACCGGATAGGTTTTGATGTGGGAGAAAACCTGTCTGCTCCAAGGCGTGTGGAAATATTCAGATTCATAACGGCAGGCAGTGATGAAGCATAATTTGTATTCAGGTCATCAAAGCTAACGGAGGCTTAAGACAAAATTACAGCCCAGTTAATTGAGTGACTTAAGGCCCCAGTGGGTGTTGAGATACATGTTGAGAATCCCTCTCCTCGGGTGAATTTGTAGGTTAATTTTGTTTAACATGTGCCTGTATGGCCCAATGTTCCATCGGTTTCTTTAATGTATTTCCAGATTAGGGCTGCATAGTCGTCTCTCTTGTATACATGCAGCCCTAAGGTTTTTTTCTATTTATTTTTTATCCT